CATGAGACACCATGTCCGCTGAAAAGACCGAGGAACAGTGAAGTCTAGCAGTTTGGTCGGAATGGTTTGGTTCGTCCCATCCAGGGGCCGTGGATGTGGGCACCCCAGGCACCCCAAGTTCGGCACCTGGTTTGAACTGTTGGTGCGGACACGCAGGTACATGAGAGTACAATATTCAACGTTGAATACTCTCCGGAAAACTAACATGGACCCTAACAAGGGCCCCTTGGAAGATTGTATTCCTTTACAAACCTGTACTAGTTGTTTATAGGGTCCATGTTAGTATTAGGAGGAGTAACTGGGTACTCTATTGTCAGATATGAAGTCTGTGTCTCACCAGCGTTCTAAGTGGCCTAGACCTAGACCCGACTTCAAGTACCCTGGAAAATGGGACTATAAAACCAGATACAAGACTATACAATTCTCCGAGGTACTTAGGTACTTTGAGACACATTCCTATACCGGAGTCATGATGTCCATGATGTTTCATCCACGATGCAGGAGAAGAACGACAAGCTCATCGATGACATTCGCACTCTCTTTGGAGAGATGGACAAGCGTGGAACTGGCAAGTTGACCTACGAGGAGTACATGGAGGTGGCAGACAGGGAATGGCCTTTGGACAGGCCGACAGGAAGAGGTGCACATTGGAGGAATCCTGAAAACTGTGCAATCCCTCACAAGTTTTATATAAAAGAAGTGAATGCACTGCATCCTGAGGATTTGGGTGATTTGGATAGATTGGGCACATGCCCAGATCAATGATCAGCTGATTTCGGACAGTTTCTGGAGTTTTAAGCCACTTAAAAACTATGTTTCTCATGATATGTGCAAAGAGCGTAGCTTGCTCTTTCATTTTCAGCGTCATGGTCATGTTCGTGAAGGAAACGGGTTGAACGTATACACTTCCAAGTCATGTCAGTATTTCAGTATTTCCAAGACGTCCACTGTCCTCAGCGCCCGTTTCATGTTCCAACCCCCCAAAAAATACTTCCACTTCCAAAACTTCCATTGCCTTTTGTTCTCTAACATGTAACCTATCAACAGATGATGTGATTATGTACTATTTATGTTTGGTTCTACAATGAACGACCTCGATTCGGGCAAAAACGACTCCGAAATCGCGCGCGCACTCCGCGCGCACTCGCTTCTCTCCACCTCGAGGCTGTGGGTGGCAACGAGGTGATCCAGACGAAGTTCGTGACGTTGGGTATCGAAGATGCTCGGTGAAGTGACCCGTGACGGCCGGCCGTCACAACTCGAGCGGCGATCGAGTCACGACTCCAGCGAGGTGATCCGCTCACTCGCGACCCGTGATGAGTCGCTGAGATTCGCTGAGAGAGCGATCCCCATGCGATCCATCTCATAGCTGGTACGGAAGCGGCGCGGGTACGGGCACACGGGTACGGGGTATGGGGCGCGAGTTCGGTAGAGAGTGTGCTCTTGAGCAGTTTTGTTTCCTGACATAGCTTGTCAGTGTGAATGAGTTTGAGGATCACCGGCCAGCTCGAGTTTGCATGAGTGAAGAACAATCCAAACATGTCCGGACCACACTCTACGGAGCCGGTCCCGGATTGGTGCTACGATAAAATCAGCATCTCCAAGTGGAATATACTAAAGGGCCAGACACCTTTGTATGTTAATACAAATACAATGACCTGCAAGTTCACCTAGCTATAGTACCACTCCAGATCTCTCACATGACGTGTTCACTCACCTCCAGTGATATATAGGTTCTTCCCCCCCTAGAACCATCTCCGTCCCCGAGGATGCGGACGAGCTTTGGAACCTCATCGACATGGGCAACGGTGAGATTGCGGTGAGCCAGTTTGCAGCAGGAGCGAACCGAACTCGCGAACCGAAGCCATCTCGGTGGTGTGCGACCGATCGGGTGACATGCGAGGGGCCCAACAGGGTGGTGACCATTTCAGCCCGGGTCAGCTGAGAGAATTTCACAGAGCATGGTGGTGTGAAATGCATAGAATGGGACGGAAGAATCTTTTACAACTTATTATCAATTGCACGGGTTCATTATGGACTGCCAAGAAATCGATCTCGCATGCACCCACTGATTGCCTTCATGTCCTGAAGAAGCACAATTTTTCTCAACCAGTACAATTCACCTGCAGGGTTTTATTTGGAATTCCTCATGATGGACACTACTTCTATAGGTCGTAAGAAGGTCCATATAGGTTTGCTGGCCCAGATTTGGTGCCTAGAACCTAAACCCAAAACAAAAGCATGCAACCGCAGAGCCTTGCAGAACCAAACATATAGGCTCATTTCTGCCGGCCACACCGTGCTCCCATGCAACATTCGCTCGCTCCCACCTGGCGAGGCTTGCGGATCATTTCGGAGGAAACGAAGGCCAAAGATGTCTTCACCATCAACCGCCGCGTGGGCAACGCCGAGCGCTCGCTGGATCACAGTGTGACTTGACGACTGGAAGGGGATGAAGTGGTTGAAGTGTGAAGTTGAGAGGAAGTGGACTAAGTGGATCCTGGATTTGTTGGGTTTGTGGCCGTTCTTTTCGGGTTATTTTAAACGGGACCCAGGATCCAAGATGTGTGTGCGTTTTACACCCTGTAGTCAGTTGGAACGAAGTCAGAGTCCCACTAGAAACAATCATGTTAGGAATTGCTGTCGTCCCAACTGTGACTCTCACAGATATGTTGAGCCCAAACTGACTTAATGTCCCACTATTTGACTTTGAAGATGTTCTGCACTTGTCAATTGGCAATTGTTAGCATAATACAATTTTCTCTGTAGCTGCTCTTGCAGAGGAACTCCATACAATTTATTCGTGCGCACGGGCTCCAAAGGCCCCTCTTCAGGCTGCTTGGAAAGCTAGCTTACTGTTTGTTTGGTTTTTCCCCACATCTCTGTGTGGGGTTCTAGTTTTGTTGGCTGCCATCCCACCCGCATCCGCCCTTCCTTCCTTCCTTCCTTCCTTCCTTCCTTCCTTCCTTCCTTCCCTCCGTCCTCCTCGCCCCCTCCTCCACTCACTCGCTCGCTCGCTCGCTCGCTCACTCACTCCCTCACTCACTCACTCACTCACTCAACACTCACACTCCCAGCAGTCTCCAGAGACTTAGTCACTCACTCACTCACTCACTCACTCA